CACAACGCTGGTCCCCGCATCAGCAACACGATGACAAAAAACAACACACCAGTTTATTGTTCCTCTCACCGTTAAAAAAGTGACAGATTTATTGAGATTTATTTGTCTATTTTTCCTTGTAATATCAGTATCGCGTGGTTTCTTTCGCAGCTATTAAGCGTACAGCCCAAGTGATAGCGTTGGTGAACGCCTTTCAGTACTGGGAAAAGGGGGGGGGGTCGATATTAATCAAATGATCTCCATCAAAAACACGCGAATAATAAAAGTAGAGAATAGCACACACTCTAGAGGCATTAGTGCAAAGGAAAATCTGCAATTTTCCACATTAGCACTTGTTCTGCGTCGCGAGGCCATGTCCGCTGGGCTCTAGACATGAAGCACGTGTGTCACCGGCGCCTCGTTTTTTTTTTATTCAAGCCTCTTGCCACAGTTCCTAGGGCACAGAACAGCAGCGCTACGGTGTCGTCTACGCGCAAAATCTTCACGCGGTGGCCGCCGCTCTTGCCACTACAACTATCTAGAACACTGTACCCAAATGCTGCCTCGGACATTAGCGACGTGCGCGACCAAGAACATCGCTGCGGTTGAACTTCGCGATTGGGCAAAACAATTGCTTTCTGTATTATTATAATGCATGCCCAATTGCCGGTTCACAGCCAGCCGAATTGTGCCAATCAAGGCGAGATAGATGCAAATCCTGCAAATCACGGCGAGGCAAATCCTAGTCGTGATGTCGGGAAAGGAAACCTGAAGAGGGCGCCACCGAACCATCTCGGTGCTAATAGAGATGCCGGGTCTAGAGATCTGCATGCTTGCTGGCTGCTTGCTTGGCTGGGCTTAAGGCCTTATCGGGAACCGACGCCGTTACCTTTGCGTTTTGCTTTTACGCGCTGATTAGGCCCGAGTCTCTTTAGCGCTCCACCAAGCGGTTTTGGGGCTTGTATTTGCCGTCAAAACTAGCCTCTTTCTTTGAACATGGTTAAAATCGCGCACAAAGAGACGTTTGTCCTCGTCTCTTTGTGCGCGATTTTAACCATGTTCAACGTTTACCAACTCGCCCAACTTACTACTCTTCTATAGCCTCTTTCTTACCGCCAAGTAGCTATCGTTAGCAGCGCCATTCGTGTCGCCCTGTAATGTGCCGCCGCAGACTGTCGCCGCGAAGCGGCGTGAACGAGTGGGTTCACACGCGCACCGGGGATACGCCCGCCGTCCCCACTGCACCTCCGAAAAGAAGATCTCACAGCCGTCCTCGGTGACAGCCATATTCTTATCTCAAACAGCAAACAATGAGCGCAAAAGTCTCATTGTCGTCCTCTGCTTGCGAAGGAGCGGGACTTTCATATAGGCCGATCAGGGTGCTGAATTTCTCCGTGGTTTTACACCGTGAGAAACGGCAATACGCTTCCCGGAAGAGACGTCGACGTACTCTTGGGACCCCTATTTGTTTGAGAAAACGAGAGGAAACGAAGGACGCCAGCAACTCAACTCTCCACCCCGATCCAGCTTCAGTTCGTTGGAATCTACAAATTGCTGATTTCCCGATGCCATGTTTCAATGGGTAAAAATGAAGCTATCGAAATTCGAAAATAAAAAACAAAAAAAAAACCTTTTTATTCTTGTGAATAAATTATTGTTGCAGCAAAAGGGCAGTGGCACAAGCACTAGGAATTCATCTACACACACCAAAATATTACAGACGTCCGCAAAGTCTAGATCCCCCGAAATTCTCCAACCACATTCAGCCAAAAAATTTTACATAAGGCGGTTGCGACTCAAGACCCTATGCAAATCTTTTTCTTCTGGATGTACTATCGGGGAAAAATGAAATGCGAACAGAGGAGCGCGTGGCTCGCGGTACAGGCTGCGCCGCCTGGAAGTGAGCCGAGGAGCGAGGGTGCGCGGCCTACTCTGACGTGTTCACGCCCCTCCCTCTGCGCTCTCCTAGCTTCGGCAGTTCGCCTCTCAGTACGCTGCAAGCGTCACCGCTATCTTTGCTGGCTCAGCGCGTGCGGTGCAAAGAAGCTCGCCGCACTCGCCGAGCAGGCAAAGATAGCGGTGACAGCTTTCAGCGCACTGAGAGGCGCACTGCCGAAGCTGGGGGAGCGCCAATCGAGGGGCGTGAACGCATAAAAGTAGGCCACGCACCCTCGCCCCTAGGTTCACTTCCAGGCGGCGCAGCCTGTACCGCGAGCCACGCGCTCCTCTGTTCGCATTTCATTTTTCCCCGATAGTACAGGTGATTTTCAAAGGACATAATGGCAAAACTCGGGTCACAAAGTCAATAATTACATGAATGAGCCGACACTGACACCACGTGCGTTCCTAAAGCAGGTCTCACCATTTTTTATAAATGCAACGCCTAACCGTAAGGAACAGTTTGCCATGGGGAACTGAGCAGGGACTGACTTCAACACATCTGAAAAACCCCCGCTATAACGCCGACCGCCTTCACAAAAGGTCTCGAGTACTACTTCAGAGCTCCGAACTTAAAAGGAGTCTTTAAGGACCAGACCATCCCGGTGACTTTTGAGGTATCCCCCCCCAACCCCCCCCCCCCCCCCCCCCCCCCCCACCACCACCCCACCCCATCCCTTCCTCTGCCATGAGTTTGTTTCAGCCACACTTGCGCTCAGTAGGCAGTCCACTTTATGCGTTTTTGCAATGAAAAACACAACCAGGCTTAGCTTCCTAGATTGTTGAAGCCCCTTTGCCAAGCTTGTCAACTCCAGTCATTAAAATATGTCCTTAGCTTCTCCTTTGATCTGGTTTCGCGAAACTTTATTCACCTTCCTGAAATTCTTAGCAATGGCTGTCTTTGGCATTTCCCCATAAGAGGCCCTCTGGGAGCACCACAATGCCGCCTTCCTTGTCTAAAGTCAGAAACTTGAGCTTGTTGTCCTCGAAGAAAGAAAACCACGGATCCGGTCCTCAACGTCCTGTTTGGCTCCTTCAACTTGTATCTCACGCAACAATTTATAGGGTGATTCTGCATACCTTATATCTGTATACTCCGATAAATAGACCCCCTGTTGTGAGTAATGCGATATTTAGTTTATTTCTGTGAAATCGGGAGTTTTTACACAAGAGGTTGGGCCAATGTTTGTTGACTTATTACGCATATCTATATCTATCTGTCTATATATGTATATATATAAGAAGGCTCCGCTATTTCCCCTGCTGCATCAACATTTTTATTTAAAGAAAGTCATTCGACCTTTAAATTGACTAACGTATTGAGCGTACCAAGTATAATAGTTCTTTCACATTCACATCTTCAGCTGACTCTTTTTGCTGCCTGTAAATTTTTCAATCAACGTATGTTTCGGTTTTTTTACGTAGGCCGTTGAATATACTGAGGAAGTTTATAATGGTTTAGGAAAGACAACAGACACGATTTAGGTCTCAACGACTACGCATATATCTCACCAAAAACAAATTTATTACAAAACATTAGAATATATATTTGCATCTACGGGGGAGATGAACATGCATTGTTCTATAGTGCATTATATAAAATGCTGTAAGCGCCAGTGCAAAGCTTTGTAACTTCTTTTGGTTGGACTAACACACCTATTTAAGGTTATGATCTTACACATTTGGCATTCGCTGTGGTAGCTTTATGTCCTTTACTTATTAGGGGACGAACAATACTGGTTGATAATATCACGTTTATCTCAACAGGCGGGACACAGCGGGTTAATTTGAAGGAATTACCACATTTTAGAAAGGCCAGGCGAAACGCTGTGAACGATATTCATGCATATACTCTACAACAAATCAATAATTAAAGAGAGGAGTTATTATTATTTTCGTGGTCATCTGAAAGAGAAAAGACATAAATAAAATTAATCAATGTATTCGGAATTAGGTTAAAATTACGATAATGTAGTTGGATGGAAACATTTCTGGCGCTCATCATAAAGTTTAAGGGGGCCATGGAGCCACATAATGCCCTATTTTTACGTTTACCAAATATTTATCAAATTATTGAGGCTCGTAACTGAAAAACGGGTCATCATTTTTTAACGTACAACCAGCTGCAGAACAAACTGCTGAAAAATTAGCACCGTTCATTCCTCCACCTCAAAGTCAGAACAAGCCGCTACTTGAACTGGTGAAGATTTATGCCACCAATGCTCATCATAGACGTGTAGAAATTCTAAAACCACACGACACGTTCTGTACTCCAGATGTTGTTATGACTGAATACCACTAGAGCGACAAGTAGAAACAACTGAAAGCGATCAACTTCACGAACGTGTAGTATACCCGCGAAGTATAGAATCACATACCATAAGACCTGAAACACTTCGTGCTTCTTAGGCGTACCCGCCAGTCTTTGAGAGAGATCGGGATGGTCTGAACAAGGAATGAAATGAGAAGTTGAGTTCCCATACTTCAAATTGTTTGACGAATTCGCAGATGATAAAGTTTGGGCCAGCCGCAGCCGCAGATAAAATCAGGGTCAGGTGTTTCAGCTTATATTTTCCGCAGGGCACCCTTGGCACCGACGCGTGCATGCTGAAAGTTCTTGAAACTTGTCCGTGTCGGTTGTTTCTTTTTGTCGCTCCAGTGGGACTAAAGCATTAGAACTCGGTAATTCCTGTCATTGCTGCGATTGGACATGAGTTCCACCATGGCACTGATTGCAGAGGAGCTCAAGTCAAGTGCCCACGCAGATATTGTGGTCCATACATAATCCACATTCTTCTCACGAGGACTCCATTCACACATAGCAATTCTCGAGGCATGCTCACAATCATATCGCAGCGCTAAATTAGCATTTAGAAACAGCGTTAACTGCAGGAGTGACTTCAGCGTAGCTTATCATCGATGCAATGCTGTAACGGTGCTGCATCACTAAAATATTGAGAAGTCAGCACTGCGTCAACAAGGTTAGAGCTATTTCTCGCGCTGAATATAATAGCACTGAGGTAGCATTCTGGGGTCATATCCGACTCAGTTGCGCGCTCTTCTCACCTCGAGGAGGCACCGCCCTAGTGCCGTCTGAAGCCTCTTATACGCCTGGCACGAGGTAGTTTCGGATTGCTGCTAGGCGTGAAGACGGCGCAGCAACGGATGAACAGCGTCACTCCCGCGGCAGTAACCAGCCCCACCAGTATCGAAATGGTCTTGTTTTCCTGTCAAGAGAGTTTTACGTTCTTGCACGCTGATGCAGCCGACACCAGTGTGGGGTTATTACAAAACCTGTAAAAAGCTACACTACACGTGATCGTAAACATACTATCTGTCATTTTGATTGGAACTTTTTTTTTTTTTTTTCAAAAAGGAAGGGAGAGGTACACGAGTGCTGCTTTCACCGTCTATTTATCAGGCTCGACGGACATTATCAGACTCGGCGAATAATTGTCATGCTAAGCTGTCTAATTAAGTAAAAAATTTCATATTTTTAATCATTAGCTATAGGTGCCACATTGGAATTTCAGTGCTGACGGTAAGGACATGTAGAGGACAGGCGAATTTAAAGAGTTTGCGAAATGGTCGGCCACGTCAGCATCTCATCGACGCGTCATCTAAACAGTCTGTTTGCACCTTGTAGTTGAAATTGGCGGCTCATGAATTTTGGTCTATTTAGCTTATCATCGACAAAAAAAAAAACAGTCTTCTGGTGACGGATTACTGGCATCAACGTCAATATCCAGCTCTTCAAAGGAAGCTGGAGCACATGGCACTCCTTGAGTCGGCAGCTGCCGCAGCACACTGAGGAGTCATCTATAGAAGATATTCACTGGACGCCATATTTGGGGGCGATGTTTAGAGCGCACGCTCAGAGCGACCTAACCCTAATAAGCTGCTAGGACCGGCGATCTCGAATGCGCGCAATGCACGTTGCAAAATAAGTGTGGAAGCTCGCCCTCAGCACGTGCTCAGCTGTCGCGCAGCTATCGTGCAGTGTGACGAGACGACTTGAAATATAAACCTGGATTAATGTTTGGTCGTCTCAGGTATACAAAAGCAGATCAAACTGCAATGAAAGGTAAATCAGTGAATCAGTATGGCGCTAATATTATGCAACAGAGAAAATTTATAACCTTTTCTAATGCTTTTCTTTCTGTCAATTTAAGGCATTTTCTTGCGTACTAGCACTCACATAGAGAGTCAAGCTGTGGAGCACGATATGTTTGGGGCGAGCGCATGTACTATAACGAAAGGTCTCGATTTTCAATCTCTTGAAGCATTAACTCTTGTGGACATTCAAATGCAAAAGACATGCTTGGCGTCGCACTTCCACCTGTGATTGATATCGTGAAATCTAACTACGAGCTCTCAACGCGAACAGTGCAAAATAAATGCGTAAACGTGCCTCCTTTGAGAGTATTAAGCAAGGTTTTAATTGCGTGCATAGAGTTGCCCAAACCTCCTTTCACTATGTTTTCAACACCATATTTCTATCTTTAAGTGTCCTGTGGTGGCGTTCTAAGTTAGTTTATAACAAACTGTATAAACCAAGCTTGTGCCGATTTGTCTTTCTTGGCAAACCAGCCATAGTTACAATAATGAGTATGCTTTCATGGGCATGCGGTAACACCCTGCTTAGTTGAAAAAGATAGCTCCTTATTGGTGGTTCTCAGAACTGCTAAAATACTGTTTTTTTTTGCAAGAGAGATTACATGGGAGTGATTAATACAAACAAGGCTATATGACGCGTGAAGCAAGGAATGAAGGACGGTACTTGCGCAGGCATGCAGAACATATAAAAAAAAGAACATTTCAATTTTGCGTCACCGGCGAAAATCATTTAAATTTCGCGCCATAAACAATCGTGACGTCACAATCATAAAGAAATTGCGTCATTTCGTGTTTCTTTTTAATAAAGCGTCACTTCCTGCACGTCACAGGCGAGCATGACTAATGACAATGCCGCGCATCTCACAGATGGCGCTGCGCCCCATGAACCATCATCTTTGCGCCTAGGGGCTTCTATGAAAGCTTCGCTACCATCTATACATGTACCTTGGCGAACCCATGCAGCCTCACGACGGCTTCCGTGACAAAGCATTGCGTTTCCGCGCTCTTCTTTGTGTTTTATCTTTGACGCGCGTCCGCTTTGACCTTGAGCGCACCCTCCGGCTTCCGCGACGAGGCATCTGCGTTCCTGCGTTTTTCCTTGTGTGTTATTGGGAATGGGAATATAGGTGACGTTTTTCTGCTACAGATGGTTACAGACAATGGATACAGATAACGCCGGCTTCTCTCCATGGGACAGTTAATGCTTTCGCATTAATGAGGTGGATGCGATTGGGTCTCCTCAGTGCCTTAAACATAAAACTCGACGCCGTGGCCTTCACAGAGACATGGTTCCGTAATGACTGTGTTAATCTTGAGGGCTATCACTGTAACTTTGTAAATCGACCACAGAAGACTGGTGGCGGCGTTGCCTGATACATGAAGAACAATGTTCGCTATGTTTTAATAGTGATTTTTTGTGACCAGCCGCTATTACGAATGTACTGCTATAATATGCTCAACTGTCCTCGTGTGGTACTTTGTATCGTCCCCCTGGCTCTAATAGAAGTTTTATTTTTCAAACTTTTAACCTGTTTTGCACTGTGTAAACTCCTTTCGGCTTAAAGTTTTTTTTTGCTGACATAAAGATCAGTTTTTTCGTTGAAAATGCAAAAAAAAAAATTAAATTTAGAACGCTTATTCAGTATCTATCATGCCACAATGTAATCCACACACCTACCCGGATAACACCGACTTCACCCTACATTACTAGACAAATGCATAGCAAACGTCCACTCCGAGGACATGCTTTGAGGAACCATATCCGAAAAGACGAGTAATCATATGCCAAGCTTTTGTATTCTTCAAAAACAAAAAAGAGAAAGAAAAAAAGAACATAAAGAAACACTCTTTTTTTGAGCGAATCGCTATATATCTGAAGAAACGTTGAACGCATTTCATGATTCATTATCAGTGCAGAACACCGAAATTGTATTATCAGAAACCAAACAACTCGGAAAAAGCATACAATTTTCGAAAAAAAGATAACGTGTGCCACAATCACCATTTCTACCACAAAAACAAAAACAAAAACAACAACAACAACAACAACAAAAGCAATAGTAAGTCGTGGCTCACGAAGAAATGTTTACGCAGGATAGAATTGAACAATATCTACTTTCAAGTTGTCCAAACTAGAGACACTGCCCTTTTACCTGAATTCAACAATTCGTAACTCAAAACGAAACTTTTTTCAACGCCAACTAGCAGATGTAAGGAATTATCAAAATAAGCCATAGATTACATTCAACTAAAATTTAAAAAAAAATTAAATCTCGTTTACAACTGCTTATTTGATTTAAAAGCAGATAGAAAAGTAGTATCTGGTGTAGACCTGGCTACAAAATGTAACGCTCATTTCCAATCAACCCTAGAAGCAACATGAGTAAATCAATCTCGAGGCTATGATCTATTCTGTTCTATACCCTGGGAATAGTTTTCCAAATAAATAGTTCTATACTTAGTAGCTAATCAAGTAATAATTACGCTTATAATGTCTCTAACAACAAGTCAGCTTGTGGCGTTGATGATCTTAAAGAGAAACCTATTAAATATGTATCAGCGCTTATTGCACTATTTCTTACACGCATATGCAATTTTACAGTTCAAAGTGGTATTTTTTCTGATAAGACGAAATCTCGAAGGTTTCAAGGTTCGGTAAGGTACGTTACTCCAAAAAAACCTAGCTAATTATTTACCCACATCGGTTTTGCCCTTGTTCTCTAAAATATTTGAAAGAATAATTAACGAAACCATTTCGTCGTTTACCCTGAGACTGGGTTTTTCTTTTGAAGAGCAGAAGTAACAGAAAAAACAGACAGGTCTCTGTTACTTCTGCTCTTCAGAAAACCCCCCAGTCTCAGGGTAAACGACGAAATGGTTGACTTTCACCAGCTAGCCTGTACTTTGACTCTTTTCTAATTAACGAAAGTTTTCAAGCGCTTTTTTTTTAAGTACAATATTGCCGCGCGCAGGGCCGAAGAAGCAACAATCGGTCTCGGTCGTCTAAAAGGTTCTCGTTTATTCTTACTCCGGACGTAGCTTCTATCATTCTCCTGCTTTCTTGTTCTAGAAATTTCGTGCTCATTCTCGCCCCAAGCGCACGACACTCCAACCTTTGTTGCCAAATCTTCAAGATTGTGTCGCATTCTAGATAAGAGGCCGCCTGCGACCTTGTCGAGTAAGTCTCGCCCCAAGGTTCAATCATGCTGCTACGCTGCCATCGACGCCCGCGACGTTCTAGTGCTATCCTATATTTCCTTTTTTTGGGAGGCACAAGTTAGCCCCGTTAAACGTTTAGTTCCCTAGTTATTCGCCGCCACATCACTAGTCATTGGTGACATTGTGGTGGAGGTGCGGGGTATTACATTCTATGCCCGTTAAGCGTACCCCTCCAAAGACATCCCGTCCAAGCGACGTGCTCAGCCCCAGAAGGCTACCCTTCGCCAAAGACGCCGAGGCCCGAAGAAGCCATCGTACCAGACGTCAGACCCCGAATTGAGTCTCTTGTTCCGGAACCGGAAGAAGATCCCACCCCGTCCGTCGACGTCCTGCCCGTCGCACCCCGGACTCCGACGCCTTTCCACGGGGAGGTCCAAAAGGATACTGAAGACTGCCTGCGACACTACGAAAGTGTAGCCCGCCACAACGGATGGCCGACTAAGCAGTGCCTCCACAACCTCTATTTCTCGCTTGAAGGCACTGCGAGGCACTGCTTTGAAAACCACAAAGCCTCCTTCACTACATAGGAGTCCTGCGTCGCGGAACTGAATCAGACGTTCATTAACCACCGTCGTCAGCGAGCAGAAGACATTTTTTAAACATGGGTGCAGGGCCCCAACGAGAGCGCGACCAGCTTTGCTGAGGATGTCCTGCGTCTAAGTGCCCGAGCCGATCCGGAGGCCGCCGAGGAACAGAAACTTCGAGTCCTCATGCGTAGCGTCAAGGCAGAAATTTTCGGAGCCCTGGTTCGCAATCCCCTACGATCCTCGATGCTTTTCTGGGTGAAGCCACCAACATCGAGCGCGCACTGACGGCCCGAGCAAGCCACTACTACCGACTCGCCGGCGCGCCTACTGCTCCAACCGTCGCAGCTTCCCTACTGGACCCGATA